TTTGACTGTTAATAACGGTCACAGAAGTGTTTTCGACTGTTAATAACGGTCACAGAAGTGTTTTTGACTGTTAATAACGGGCACAGAAGTGTTTTTGACTGTTAATAACGGTCACAGAAGTGATTTTGACTGTTAATAACGGTCACAGAAGTGTTTTCGTCTGTTAATAACGGTCACAGAAGTGTTTTCGACTGTTAATAACGGTCACAGAAGTGTTTTTGACTGTTAATAACGGTCTGTTAATAACGGTCACAGAAGTGTTTTTGACTGTTAATAACGGTCACAGAAGTGTTTTTGACTGTTAATAACGGGCACAGAAGTGTTTTCGACTGTTAATAACGGTCACAGAATTGTTTTTGACTGTTAATAACGGTCACAGAAGTGTTTTCGACTGTTAATAACGGTCACAGAAGTGTTTTCGACTGTTAATAACGGTCACAGAAGTGTTTTTGACTGTTAATAACGGGCACAGAAGTGTTTTTGACTGTTAATAACGGTCACAGAAGTGATTTTGACTGTTAATAACGGTCACAGAAGTGTTTTCAATAACGGTCACAGAAGTGTTTTCGACTTTAATAACGGTCGAAGTGTTTTTGACTGTTAATAACGGGCACAGAAGTGTTTTTGACTGTTAATAACGGTCACAGAAGTGTTTTTGACTGTTAATAACGGTTTTTTTGGTTAATAACGGGCACAGAAGTGTTTTCGACTCTCAAACTGTCACAGTGTTTTCGACTGTTAATAACGGGCACAGCTCAACCGCCGCAACCGCTTGCGGCGGTTGAGCTCTGGCTCTTTGGTCCCGCCTCTCAAACTGTCAGTCTCAGAGGTTCCTGAGTTTACTGAGCTCGATCGTGTGTGTGTGTGTTTGTGCGCGCGCGTGCGTACGCGCGCACGCGCTTTGGCCATGACAGGCAGGGGGGGGGGAGGTGTAGTGTGGGCAGTATAGTGGCACTTACATTCATCAGGCAGTAATCTAGGGCGAGCAGGGAGAGTCTTGTTGATCCACGTTATATAATGGCGGTGCTTCCAGGGGTTCGTAGCATGAGTTAGGTTTATGCTGTCCGTGAACTGCTGTTCCTCCTACTGCCTGTCCTCCCCCGCCACGGTCCTGTGTCCGTTGTTGTTGTTGTTGTTATAGATTCAGCTACGCGGAACAAGTTCCAAGTAGCACGGGCTATGGTGAGCCCGTAGTGGACTTACCTGGCACAGGAGCGGGGCAAGTAGCACGGGCTATGGTGAGCCCGTAGTGGACTTACCTGGCACAGGAGCGGGGCAAGTAGCACGGGCTATGGTGAGCCCGTAGTGGACTTACCTGGCACAGGAGCGGGGCAAGTAGCACGGGCTATGGTGAGCCCGTAGTGGACTTACCTGGCACTGGAGCGGGGCAAGTAGCACGGGCTATGGTGAGCCCGTAGTGGACTTACCTGGCACTGGAGCGGTGCCCCGGTCCTGTGCCCTTGTTTGGTGAGCCTTATAGGCCCGGGTAGGCTCAAACGACGGCACATTTCTGGGTGGGGGTGAGGGGGTATATTTATATAGACTGTTGCGTGGGTATTACTCAAGACTAAAACCAGTGCACTAAAACAGAAGAGAAAAAGAAACAGGGAAAAAGGAGGAATCCCCACCACCATTTAAAAACTTTGACCCAAATATCACAGTAACAAGGTTATCGCGAATAACCGAACTCAATTACGGGCTCACCATAGCCCGTGCTACATTTACATTTCATTCTGAGTAGCTAAATCTAAAACAACAACAACAACGTGGGAATTAGTGTTGAACGATGGATATTGTGTGTGACTAATTGGCTTACTCCTAAAGGCTGTCGGGTAGTTAGTCCAGGATTGTGGAAGTATTGCTGTGGGAGTAGGGTGGGGGGGGAGTGGACCCCATATTGTAGGGGGGAGGAGATAAATGCACTCTAGTGTCACCCCAGAGATTGAACAGCGCAAAGGTCGTACACCAACGGCCCTCGCTTCCTGCAGGCTGGCGTTCGATTCCCGATGGTCCAAGCGGTTGAGCACCATTCCTTCCCTCCGTCCCATCCGAGATATGGCAGCTCTGGTAGCTCACCTTGTAACTAGACCCACAAACACGACAGACCACTTATGATTAAGAATTATTTTATATATTGTACAATGGATATATTTCTAGTCTTTTCGCTGTTATTACACTAAACGACGTCAACGCGTTTGTCATCTTTCGTGGGGTGTCAACACCAGCCGTACACACTGAGAGTACACATGGGAGGGGGTGTAGTGGGTGTAAGTCTGTGATGTACACATAGATGACGTGACTGGGTGTACTAGAGAGAGAGAGAGAGACAAAATTACACAGACCATCCACAGAAATTAACAGGTGTGATGTATGCACATATTTTTCCCCCAGGTGTTTGGAACATGTGTCGGGCAGCGTAGGCGTTTCAACACACACACACACACACACACACACACACACACACACACACACACACACACACACACACACACACACACACACACACACACACACACGTGTTCCAACTAAACATCCTATACTGGTGTTCGAATTGACACCTGTTAACTGACGCCTGTGCTGTATGTTTATTATTTTTTGTATAAATAAGTATAAATAAGACTTTCTGAGGTGATCCAAGTCCAAAACGGCTTAAGAATATTAGCTAAAAGATATCGCAAAAGATAGCAAGGTGATGTTGGGTGCTGCCGCCGTCAACCAGACCCCCCCCCCCCTCCTGACGATAACAACAACAATTGCTCATCAGTTATCGAGCGGGGTGGACTCGATTGGTCAAGTAAATTACAGCAGCTGCCAATCAGCGGGCGGCGTTGCCCCGGGCTCCGCCCCGCCCGCCAACCCCCAAGTCCCGCCCGCCCCCGCCAACCCCAAGTCCCGCCCGCGCCCGCCAACCCCAAGTCCTGCCCGCGCCCGCCAACCCCCAAGTCCCGCCCGCGCCCGCCAACCCCCAAGTCCCGCCCGCCAACCCCCAAGTCCCGCCCGCCCCCGCCAACCCCCAAGTCCCCCCCGCCAACCCCCAAGTCCCGCCCGCCCCCGCCAACCCCAAGTCCCGCCCGCGCCCGCCAACCCCAAGTCCTGCCCGCGCCCGCCAACCCCCAAGTCCCGCCCGCGCCCGCCCCCGCCAACCCCAAGTCCCGCCCGCGCCCGCCAACCCCCAAGTCCTGCCCGCGCCCGCCAACCCCCAAGTCCCGCCCGCGCCCGCCAACCCCCAAGTCCCGCCCGCGCCCGCCAACCCCCAAGTCCCGCCCGCGCCCGCCAACCCCCAAGTCCCGCCCGCCAACCCCCAAGTCCCGCCCGCCCTCGCCAACCCCCAAGTCCCGCCCGCCCCCGCCAACCCCCAAGTCCCGCCCGCCCCCGCCAACCCCAAGTCCCGCCCGCGCCCGCCAACCCCAAGTCCTGCCCGCGCCCGCCAACCCCCAAGTCCCGCCCGCGCCCGCCAACCCCCAAGTCCCGCCCGCGCCCGCCAACCCCCAAGTCCCGCCCGCGCCCGCCAACCCCCAAGTCCCGCCCGCGCCCGCCAACCCCCAAGTCCCGCCCGCGCCCGCCAACCCCCAAGTCCCGCCCGCGCCCGCCAACCCCAAGTCCCGCCCGCGCCCGCCAACCCCCAAGTCCCGCCCGCGCCCGCCAACCCCCAAGTCCCGCCCGCGCCCGCCAACCCCCAAGTCCCGCCCGCGCCCGCCAACCCCCAAGTCCCGCCCGCGCCCGCCAACCCCCAAGTCCCGCCCGCGCCCGCCAACCCCCAAGTCCCGCCCGCGCCCGCCAACCCCCAAGTCCCGCCCGCCCCCGCCAACCCCCAAGTCCCGCCCGCCCCCGCCAACCCCCAAGTCCCGCCCGCCCCCGCCAACCCCAAGTCCCGCCCGCGCCCGCCAACCCCAAGTCCTGCCCGCGCCCGCCAACCCCCAAGTCCCGCCCGCGCCCGCCCCCGCCAACCCCCAAGTCCCGCCCGCGCCCGCCAACCCCCAAGTCCCGCCCGCGCCCGCCAACCCCCAAGTCCCGCCCGCGCCCGCCAACCCCCAAGTCCCGCCCGCCCTCGCCAACCCCCAAGTCCCGCCCGCGCCCGCCAACCCCCAAGTCCCGCCCGCCCCCGCCAACCCCAAGTCCCGCCCGCGCCCGCCAACCCCCAAGTCCCGCCCGCGCCCGCCAACCCCCAAGTCCCGCCCGCGCCCGCCAACCCCCAAGTCCCGCCCGCGCCCGCCAACCCCCCAAGTCCCGCCCGCGCCCGCCAACCCCCCCAAGTCCCGCCCGCGCCCGCCAACCCCCCCAAGTCCCGCCCGCGCCCGCCAACCCCCCCAAGTCCCGCCCGCGCCCGCCAACCCCCCCAAGTCCCGCCCGCGCCCGCCAACCCCCCCAAGTCCCGCCCGCGCCCGCCAACCCCCCCAAGTCCCGCCCGCGCCCGCCAACCCCCCCAAGTCCCGCCCGCGCCCGCCAACCCCCCCAAGTCCCGCCCGCGCCCGCCAACCCCCCCAAGTCCCGCCCGCGCCCGCCAACCCCCCCAAGTCCCGCCCGCGCCCGCCAACCCCCCCAAGTCCCGCCCGCGCCCGCCAACCCCCCCAAGTCCCGCCCGCGCCCGCCAACCCCCCCAAGTCCCGCCCGCGCCCGCCAACCCCCCCAAGTCCCGCCCGCGCCCGCCAACCCCCCCAAGTCCCGCCCGCGCCCGCCAACCCCCAAGTCCCGCCCGCGCCCGCCAACCCCCAAGTCCCGCCCGCGCCCGCCAACCCCCAAGTTCCGCCCGCGACCGCCAACCCCCAAGTCCCGCCCCCGCCCGCCAACCCCCAAGTCCCGCCCGCGCCCGCCAACCCCCCAAGTCCCGCCCCCGCCCGCCAACCCCCAAGTCCCGCCCCCGCCCGCCAACCCCCAAGTCCCGCCCGCCAACCCCCAAGTCCCGCCCCCGCCCGCCAACCCTGATTGTTTCCGCGACTACAATTACACCGGGTGTAATGTTGATGTATTGTGTTGCCTCACGACACGGCCAGGTCCGCGTGTCAGCCTGGGACGTGGGACGTGACCGGCGTTGAATACGGGGAACATTTGACTTGACCAGCGTTGAATACGGGGAACATTGGACTTGACCGGCGTTGAATACGGGGAACATTGGACTTGACCGGCGTTGAATACGGGGAACATTTGACTTGACCAGCGTTGAATACGGGGAACATTGGACTTGACCAGCGTTGAATACGGGGAACATTGGACTTGACCAGCGTTGAATATGGGGAACATTGGACTTGACCGGCGTTGAATATGGGGAAGATTGGACGTGACCAGCATTGAATATGGAGAACATTGGACTTGGCCATCGTTGAATACGGGGAACATTGGACTTGACCAGCGTTGAATACGGGGAACATTGGACTTGACCAGCGTTGAATATGGGGAACATTGGACTTGACCGGCGTTGAATATGGGGAGCATTGGACTTGACCGGCGTTGAATATGGGGAACATTGGACTTGACCGGCGTTGAATATGGGGAACATTGGACGTGACCAGCATTGAATATGGAGAACATTGGACTTGGCCATCGTTGAATACGGGGAACATTGGACTTGACCAATGTTGAATATGGGGAACATTGGACTTGACCGGCGTTGAATACGGGGAACATTGGACTTGACCAGCGTTGAATACGGGGAACATTGGACTTGACCAGCGTTGGATATGGGGAACATTGGACTTGACCGGCGTTGAATATGGGGAACATTGGACTTGACCAATGTTGAATATGGGGGAACATTGGACTTGACCAGCGTTGAATACGGAGAACATTGGACGTGACCAGTGTTGAATACGGGGAACATTGGACGTGACCAGTGTTGAATACGGGGGACGTGACATTGAATACGGGGAACGGACGTGACCAGCGTTGAATACGGGGAACATTGGACGTGACCAGTGTTGAATACGGGGAACATTGGACGTGACCAGCGTTGAATACGGGGAACATTGGACGTGACCAGCGTTGAATACGGGGAACATTGGACTTGACCAGCGTTGAATACGGGGAACATTGAACTTGACTTTCGCCTTGTTCAAGACAGTCCTACCAACCTCGTCAAGTCCAATTCCTGATACACAGCATTTTGAAATATCCGCCTTTAGGCCTATCCAAAATATTCGCCAATAGGCCTATCCTAGAGGTTGTTAGGGAGACGAGCCCCTCGTTAGGCTGTTTGCCAGTGATTTACCTTTCCGCCAGGTCAGCATCGGGGGTTTGCTTGAACGAATTTCCACGCCGCATGATGTTCGTTTGTTGCGTTTAACTACTCCCACTGGAGAGGTTAAACAAGGGGGGGGGGGATGGTGCCCAACCACTTGGGGTGGACGGTAGAGCGACGGTCTCGCTTCATGCGGATGATTGAACGTTTTCCTGTCCGTGTTCAATCCCCGACCGTCCACAAGTGGTTGGCCACCATTCCTTTCCCTTCCTGTCCCATCCCAAATCGTTATCCTGGCTCCTTCCACGTGCTATATAGTCGCAATGGCTCGGCGCTTTCCCCCCTGATAATTCTGGGGGGGGGGGGGGGTGAAATTAGTACACACCCCAGCGGCTTGTCACTGGCCGCTGGGGTGTGTCTGCGATCTGTCCGTCTGTGTGTTATTATCAAAGTGTAAGTGTGTGTGTGTGTGTGTGTGTGTGTGTGTCCTTCATAATGTGTAGTTTACATTCCTCTAACAGGGCTCTGGAAGAGAGATACCGGACCCCTGCCTCACGCAGTTCTAATTAAATCTATTTTTTATGAGTGATGAAGGAGGTTACTGCCTCCTTCAGCGGGATCCTTGGGTATAAGGACACTATATCCAAAGAGAAGAGGCGTGGTCACAAGAAAATAGGATCGCGGTGGTATTGTGATCTTGTCAGGACATCTGTTGTCCAGAAGGACCTGTGTTTGTATGGATGACAATAGTTTATATTTTGCTATGGCTCTTCCCCCAGACTGTATTATAACTATTCGTTCAATGTCCTCAACTAATTCATCTAATACTTTGCTGGCTTTTTCTGAAAGTTGGAGCATCCCAGGATAAACGAGAGGCCTTTTCCTGGGGCCAGAGTCTCTATTTCAGACAGTGGAACAGACATGCCCAAGTCACTCGCCTCTGTCTGTTCCACCTGCCTCCTATTCGCTAGTTACTTGTTCCACCGTTCCAACCTCTGCCGGCTTGACACCACTCGTTCTCCTGCCTGCGATGTTGCCAGCGCCGGTATCTCTTGCGTCTGTCAACTACTTGCCAGCCATTGGCGTTTGCGTTGCTCCGCGTTCCTTGACGCCAAGGTTCCTCTTGGTTCTCTTTGTCTACAACGCTGAGACAGGGTTTACAAGGACAGATACAGCATCCCCCATACACCGTACTTTCCAATAGCTGTTGTACGTCTCTCTGTCCCTTAAACCCGTCTGGTTATAGAGCCGTCTGGGCCCCTGAGATTCGTTCCTGCGGCCTTGAAACTTCCCCCTTCCCCCCACCCCCTGTGAGCTTTAGTGTCCCCGCGGCCCGGTCCTTGACCAGGCCTCCACCCCCAGGAAGCAGCTCGTGACAGCTGACTAACACCCAGGTACCTATTTTACTGCTAGGTAACAGGGGTATAAAGTGAAAGAAACATTGCCCATTGTTTCTCGCCGGCGCCCGGGATCGAACCCGGGACCACAGGATCACAAGTCCAGCGTGCTGTCCGCTCGGCCGACCGGCTCCCAGGGGGTAGCCGTTATCTTTGGTACCTCTTGTACGTGCCCTTACCAGACATGTATATGCCTCCATGTATATGCATACCAGATATGTATAGATCAACAGGTGCCTAGCTCTCGGCTACCTATGTACTGGTAAACCGTGACGCCCCAAGAGCACAGGAACTTTATTAAACGTTTCCATCTTTCGCGGGCATCGAACCCGGGATTCAGAGGGCGAGAGTATGGCGAAGTGTAGACCTGCTGAAGCCAGGAGTATGTGTATGTGTGTGTGTGTATTTCACTGAATATTAGTGAACTAAAAACTATATTTATATAGAAAACTTAGTCTTTGTCGCCCATGTGGCGTGGGAAGAAGATTATTTGAATAAAAAATAACAATTATTTAATTATAAAAAACAATAATTAACTTCTAGTTGAGGTTTAACTAACAGCCCAAAATAATTGTTGTATCATTTGGTAGCATAATTACTATTTAATATAGCTGTAAAGCAGTATTTTGTCTAAAATGGAGTTTACGTACAGCTAAAGTCATTGTATTTTATAGTTTGGCCTCAAACCATTTCAGCCATGTCCCCCGTTTTCTTCGATGGCTCCGACGTGCCGGGGGGGGGGGGGGGGGGGGAAGCCCGTCCTCCTAAGCTCCCCAACGTCAAGAAACTGTCGTACTACAGCCCCCCCCCCCCTTTATCCTAACCTACCAGAGGACCCAAAACAGAAAACGGGACAGTACGTCACTTTTTCGGGCCACTTCCATTTTCTAATACGACGGTTTTTGGCCCTATGTAACGCCTACGAGCGAAAAGCGACGTTCTATGTAGGAGGGCATTAACAACCCTCCAGAGGTTGTAGGACTAAAGTATTCTTGTTAAGTGGTCATTAAGCTGTTGTAACGGCTTTAATAACCCTCACACGAGAGAGAGATCTCTGGAAACACAAACCGTAACTGTCTCTACTTTACGCTTGTTACAACTTGTAATAAAGTTGTTACATCTTGGCTTAACGTGTTTATGACGTATTAGAACGTTGTTACAATTTGCTATATTGGTTGTTACAACTGGTTAGGTGGTGTTAAAACTTGTTCGAACATTGTTGTTATTAGACGTATTAGAACGTTGTTACAACTTGCTATATTGGTTGTTATAACTGGTTAGTAGGTGTTAAAACTTATTCGAACGTTGTACCAACGTCGTAGTTTCGGTGTGTGTTTGGCGGGGAGAGAGAGACTCCTTGAGATTGTTGAATGATACGCAAAATAGAGCACTTAGTAAGGGTGTCTGTGTTCCGGCCACTCAATATATCCGGTTTATTGAGCTCTGGCTTTGTTTACATTGGGTACTAACCTTGTAAACAAACACGCAACGTAACGAGCGTCTGTTGTTACCTGGTTACAACCTGGTACAAAGTTTACAACAACTTGTTCGAACGTGTCAGCAAAGGCGTAATTTCGTCGTTATTGGTACAGGTTGGTGAGTACAGTACAGGTGGGTGAGTACAGTACAGGTGGGTGAGTACAGTACAGGTGGGTGAGTACTGTACAGGTGGGTGAGTACAGTACAGGTGGGTGAGTACTGTACAGGTGGGTGAGTACAGTACAGGTGGGTGAGTACTGTACAGGTGGGTGAGTACAGTACAGGTGGGTGAGTACAGTACAGGTGGGTGAGTACTGTACAGGTGGGTGAGTACAGTACAGGTGGGTGAGTACAGTACAGGTGGGTGAGTACTGTACAGGTGGGTGAGTACAGTACAGGTGGGTGAGTACAGTACAGGTGGGTGAGTACAGGAGACAACAGGAGGATCATCCTGGAGAAACAAATCCTATCACACGTCAAGAAGCTCCCACACACCTTCGCGCCAGACCTTGGGAAGAACACCATTAAAACTGTCACGTCAAGCCGATGGCTCGATGTCGTCACGGACTTCTCTCTGACGCCTCCAGGTCGCCACGGACGCCTTCTGATGCCTTCAGGTCCTCACGCACGCCTCCAGGTCGTCGCGGACGCCTCTAGGTCGTCACGGACGCCTCCAGGTCGCCACGGACGCCTTCTGATGCCTTCAGGTCGTCACGCACGCCTCCAGGTCGTCGCGGACGCCTCTAGGTCGTCACGCACGCCTCCAGGTCGTCGCGGACGCCTCTAGGTCGTCACGGACGCCTCCAGGTCGCCACGGACGCCTTCTGATGCCTTCAGGTCGTCACGCACGCCTCCAGGTCGTCGCGGAACCTCTAGGTCGTCACGGAAGCCTCCAGGTCGTCCGTGACGCCTCCAGGTCGTCCGTGACGCCTCCAGGTCGTCACGCACGCCTCCAGGTCGTCGCGGACGCCTCCAGGTCGTCACGCACGCCTCCAGGTCGTCGCGGACGCCTCTAGGTCGTCACGGACGCCTCCAAGTCGCCACGGACGCCTTCTGATGCCTTCAGGTCGTCACGCACGCCTCCAGGTCGTCGCGGACGCCTCTAGGTCGTCACGGACGCCTCCAGGTCGCCACGGACGCCTTCTGATGCCTTCAGGTCGTCACGCACGCCTCCAGGTCGTCGCGGAACCTCTAGGTCGTCACGGATGCCTCCAGGTCGTCCGTGACGCCTCCAGGTCGTCACGCACGCCTCCAGGTCGTCACGGACGCTTCCAGGTTGTCACGGACGCCTCCAGGTTGCCACGGACGCCAATAGGTCGTCACGGACGCCTCCAGGTCGCCACGGACGCCTCCAGGTCGTCGCGGACGCCTCCAGGTCGTCACGGACGTCTCCAGGTCGCCACGGACGCCTCCAGGTCGTCGCGGACGCCTCCAGGTCGTCGCGGACGCCTCCAGGTCGTCGCGGACGCCTCCAGGTCGCCACGGACGCCTCCAGCTCGTCACGGACGCCTCCAGGTCGCCACGAACGCCTCCAGGTCGTCGCGGACGCCTCCAGGTCGTCGCGGACGCCTTCAGGTCGTCGCGGACGCCTCCAGGTCGTCGCGGACGCCTCCAGGTCGTCGCGGACGCCTCCAGGTCGTCACGGACGCCTTCAGGTCGTCACGGACGCCTCCAGGTCGTCACGGACGCCTTCAGGTCGTCACGGACGCCTCCAGGTCGTCACGGACGCCTCCAGGTCGTCACGGACGCCTCCAGGTCGTCACGGACGCCTCCAGGTCGTCACTGACGCCTCCAGGTCGTCACTGACGCCTCCAGGTCGTCGCGGACGCCTCCAGGTCGTCACGGACGCCTCCAGGTCGTCACGGACGCCTCCAGGTCGTCACGGACGCCTCCAGGTCGTCACGGACGCCTCCAGGTCGTCACGGACGCCTCCAGGTCGTCACGGACGCCTCCAGGTCGCCACGGACGCCTCCAGGTCGTCACGGACGTTTCCAGGTTGTCACGGACGCCTGCAGGTCGCCACGGACGCCTATAGGTCGTCACGGACGCCTCCAGGTCGTCGCGGACGCATCCAGGTCGTCACGGACGCCTCCAGGTCGCCACGGACGCCTCCAGGTCGTCGCGGACGCCTCCAGGTCGTCGCGGACGCCTCCAGGTCGTCACGGACGCCTCCAGGTCGTCACGGACGCCTCCAGGTCGTCACGGACGCCTCCAGGTCGTCGCGGACGCCTCCAGGTCGTCGCGGACGCCTCCAGGTCGTCGCGGACGCCTCCAGGTCGTCGCGGACGCCTCCAGGTCGTCGCGGACGCCTCCAGGTCGTCGCGGACGCCTCCAGGTCGTCGCGGACGCCTCCAGGTCGTCGCGGACGCCTCCAGGTCGTCGCGGACGCCTCCAGGTCGTCACGAACGCCTCCAGGTCGTCACGGACGCCTCCAGGTCGTCACGGACGCCTCCAGGCCGTCACGGACGCCTCCAGGCCGTCACGGACGCCTCCAGGTCGCCACGGACGCCTCCAAGTCGCCACGGACGCCTCCAGGTCGTCACGGACGCCTCCAAGTCGCCACGGACGCCTCCAGGTCGTCACGGACGCCTCCTGATGCCTCCAAGTCGTCACGGACGCCTCCAGGCCGTCACGGACGCCTCCAGGCCGTCACGGACGCCTCCAGGTCGCCACGGACGCCTCCAAGTCGTCACGGACGCCTCCAGGTCGTCACGGACGCCTCCAGGTCGTCACGGACGCCTCCAGGTCGTCACGGACGCCTCCAGGTCGTCACGGACGCCTCCTGATGCCTCCAAGTCGTCATGGACGCCTCCAGGCCGTCACGGACGCCTCCAGGCCGTCACGGACGCCTCCAGGCCGTCACGGACGCCTCCAGGTCGCCACGGACGCCTCCAAGTCGCCACGGACGCCTCCAGTTCGTCACGGACGCCTCCAGGTCGTCACGGACGCCTCCAGGTCGTCACGGACGCCTCCAGGTCGTCACGGACGCCTCCAGGTCGTCACGGACGCCTCCAGGTCGTCACGGACGCCTCCAGGTCGTCGCGGACGCCTCCAGGTCGCCACGGAAGCCTCCAGGTCGTCGCGGACGCTTCCATGTCGTCGCGGACGCCTCCAGGTCGTCGCGGACGCCACCAGGTCGTCACGGACGCCTCCAGGTCGTCACGGACGCCTCCAGGTCGTCACGCGGACGCCTCCAGGTCGTCACGGACGCCTCCAGGTCGTCACGAACGCCTCCAGGTCGTCACGAACGCCTCCAGGTCGTCACGGACGCCTCCAGGGTCGTCACGGACGCCTCCAGGTCGTCACGGACGCCTCCAGGTGGTCACGGACGCCTCCAGGTCGTCACGAACGCCTCCAGGTGGTCACGGACGCCTCCAGGTCGTCGCAGACGCCTCCAGGTCGTCGCGGACGCCTCCAGGTCGTCGCGGACGCCTCCAGGTCGTCACGGACGCCTCCTGATGCCTCCAGGTCGTCACGGACGCCTCCAAGTCACGGACGATTCCAGGCCGTCACGGACGCCTCCAGGTCGTCACGGACGCCTCCTGATGCCTCCAAGTCGTCATGGACGCCTCCAGGCAGTCACGGACGCCTCCAGGCCGTCACGGACGCCTCCAGGTCGCCACGGACGCCTCCAAGTCGCCACGGACGCCTCCAGGTCGTCACGGACGCCTCCAGGTCGTCACGGACGCCTCCAGGTCGTCACGGACGCCTATAGGTCGTCACGGCCGCCTCCAGGTCGCCACGGACGCCTCCAGGTCGTCGCGGACGCATCCAAGTCGTCACGGACGCCTCCAGGTCGTCGCGGACGCCTCCAGGTCGTCGCGGACGCATCCAGGTCGTCACGGACGCCTCCAGGTCGCCACGGACGCCTCCAGGTCGTCGCGGACGCCTCCAGGTTGTCGCGGACGTCTCCAGGTCGTCACGGACGCCTCCAGGTCGTCACGGACGCCTCCAGGTCGTCACGGACGCCTCCAGGTCGTCACGGACGCCTCCAGGTCGTCACGGACGCCTCCAGGTCGCCACGGACGCCTCCAGGTCGTCGCGGACGCCTCCAGGTCGTCGCGGACGCCTCCTGGTCGTCGCGGACGCCTCCAGGTCGTCACGGACGCCTCCAGGTCGTCACGGACGCCTCCAGGTCGTCACGGACGCCTCCAGGTCGTCACGGACGCCTCCAGGGCCGTCACGGACGCCTCCAGGGTCGTCACGGACGCCTCCAGGTCGTCACGGACGCCTCCAGGTCGTCACGGACGCCTCCAGGTCGTCACGGACGCCTCCAGGTCGTCACGGACGCCTCCAGGTCGTCGCGGACGCCTCCAGGTCGTCGCGGACGCCTCCAGGTCGTCACGGACGCCTCCTGATGCCTCCAGGTCGTCACGGACGCCTCCAAGTCGTCACGGACGCCTCCAGGCCGTCACGGACGCCTCCAGGTCGTCACGGACGCCTCCTGATGCCTCCAAGTCGTCACGGACGCCTCCAGGCGTCACGGACGCCTTCAGGCCGTCACGGACGCCTCCAGGTCGCCACGGACGCCTCCAAGTCGTCACGGACGCCTCCAGGTCGCCACGGACGCCTCCAAGTCGTCACGGACGCCTCCAGGTCGCCACGGACGCCTCCAAGTCGTCACGGACACCTCCCCGTCTCCGCTGAGAACACAGAAACACAAAGGAAGATGAACTAACACACAAGGACTGCTGCTGTGGGTGATGGAGAGTCTGGGAGTGTTAAACACACGTCGCAGACAACAACAACCTGATGGATCTTGGAGGCGTTGAACTACGAGGTCAATGATGTGGGAAGATAATCCTGCGTGCTCATCCTAATATGTTTTACTTTTAACGGAAACGATTAATCCGTTTAAACAAAATTAAGCTACTTATTTGCGAAAATGAAAATACGGTAATATTAATTTTTTTTGGTGTGGGGGGGGGGGGGGGTTAATTAATTAGGAAGGGTCGTAAGTGTGTGATTGCAGGTCGTAAGTGGAGGTTCGTCGTATGGTTGACCCAAGATTAACCATGTCAAACCCAGTTTTTTTATTATTATTATTTTCTACCACAGACGTGGCCACACGCAGCTCAGCCCAGCCCAGGCCAGCCCAGCCCAGGCCAGCCCAGCCCAGGCCAGCCCAGCCCAGGCCAGCCCAGGCCAGCCCAGCCCAGGCCAGCCCAGCCCAGCCCAGCCCAGCCCAGCCCAGCCCAGGCCAGCCCAGCCCAGGCCAGCCCAGCCCAGCCCAGGCCAGCCCAGGCCAGCCCAGCCCAGCCCAGGCCAGCCCAGCCCAGGCCAGGCCAGCCCAGGCCAGCCCAGCCCAGCCCAGGCCAGCCCAGCCCAGCCCAGCCCAGGCCAGCCCAGCCCAGGCCAGCCCAGCCCAGCCCAGCCCAGGCCAGCCCAGCCCAGGCCAGCCCAGCCCAGGCCAGGCCAGCCCAGCCCAGCCCAGGCCAGGCCAGCCCAGCCCAGGCCAGCCCAGGCCAGCCCAGGCCAGCCCAGCCAGACAGAGCAGAGGCTAACAGAATCACACAAAGTTACATATTTCAACTAGTTTTAATCATACCTAAGTAATTGTTACATAGGTCAAGTTAGCGGTTGTTGTGGTTCAAAACCTGGGATTAATTGTTTATTTTTTTACCTATGACTTACTGAGGGAAGGTGAGGCATCTGAGAGAGAGAGAGAGAGAGAGAGAGAGAGAGAGAGAGAGAGAGAGAGAGAGAGAGAGAGAGAGAGAGAGGGGGGGGGGAGGAGAGGAGGAGAGAGAGAGAGAAAGAGAGAGAGAGAGGGGGGGAGGGAAGCAATATAAAGATTGTTTATAACAATAACAGCCTTGAGTTACAACGTCTCGAAGCTCTTGAACCTCTTTGATAAGTGTACACAAAGGCTGCACAGGCGAGGAAAGATGCACGGGTTTCGCAAGGGGGAGGAGCTGTATTGTGAACATGAGGAATGACTTCGTTGTTCGGCCCGTCACGGAGCAACACGGTGCAACACGGTGCAACACGGTGCATCACGGTGTATCACGGTGCAACATTGTGCAACACGGTGCAACACGGTGCAACACGGTGTATCACGGTGCATCACGGTGCATCACGGTGCAACACGGTGCATCACGGTGCATCACGGTGCATCACGGTGCATCACGGTGCATCACGGTGCAACACGGTGCAACACGGTGCAACACGGTGCATCACGGTGCAACACGGTGCAACACGGTGCAACACGGTGCATCACGGTGCAACACGGTGCAACACGGTGCAACACGGCGCAACACGGTGCAACACGGTGCAACACGGTGCAACACGGTGCATAACGGTGCAACACGGTGCATAACGGTGTATCACGGTGCAACACGGTGCAACACGGTGCAACACGGTGCAACACGGCGCAACACGGTGCATCACGGTGCATCACGGTGCAACACGGTGCATCACGGTGCAACACGGTGCAACACGGCGCAACACGGTGCATCACGGTGCAACACGGTGCAACACGGTGCATCACGGTGCAACACGGCGCAACACGGTGCATCACGGTGCAACACGGTGCAACACGGTGCATCACGGTGTATCACGGTGCAACACGGTGCAACACGGCGCAACACGGTGCAACACGGTGCATCACGGTGCAACACGGTGCATCACGGTGCAACACGGTGCAACACGGTGCAACACGGTGCAACACGGTGCAACACGGCGCAACACGGTGCAACACGGCGCAACACGGTGCAACACGGTGCAACACGGCGCAACACGGTGCATCACGGTGCAACACGGTGCATCACGGTGCAACACGGTGCAACACGGTGCAACACGGTGCATCACGGTGCAACACGGTGCAACACGGCGCAACACGGTGCAACACGGTGCATCACGGTGTATCACGGTGCAACACGGTGCAACACGGCGCAACACGGTGCAACACGGTGCAACACGGTGCAACACGGTGCAACACGGCGCAACACGGCGCAACACGGTGCAACACGGTGCAACACGGTGCAACACGGTGTATCACGGTGTATCACGGTGCAACACGGTGCAACACGGTGCAACACGGTGCAACACGGCGCAACACGGTGCAACACGGTGCAACACGGTGCATCACGGTGCAACACGGTGCATCACGGTGCAACACGGTGCAACACGGTGCAACACGGTGCAACACGGTGCAACACGGTGCAACACGGTGCAACACGGTGCAACACGGTGCAACACGGTGCAACACGGTGCAACACGGTGCATCACGGTGCAACACGGTGCAACACGGTGCAACACGGTGCAACACGGTGCAACACGGTGCATCACGGTGCAACACGGTGCAACACGGTGCAACACGGTGCAACACGGTGCAACACGGTGCATCACGGTGCATCACGGTGTATCACGGTGCAACACGGTGCAACACGGCGCAACACGGTGCAACACGGTGCAACACGGTGCAACACGGTGCAACACGGCGCAACACGGCGCAACACGGTGCATCACGGTGCAACACGGTGCAACACGGTGTATCACGGTGCATCACGGTGCAACACGGTGTATCACGGTGCAACACGGTGTATCACGGTGTATCACGGTGCATCACGGTGCATCACGGTGCAACACGGTGCATCACGGTGCAACACGGAGCAACACAGTGCATCACGGTGCATCACGGTGCATCACGGTGCAACACGGTGCAACACGGTGCAACACGGTGCATCACAGTGTAACACGGTGCAACACGGTGCAACACGGTGTATCACGGTGCATCACGGTGCATCACGGTGCATCACGGTGCATCACGGTGCAACACGGTGCAACACGGTGCAACACGGTGTATCACGGTGTATCACGGTGCATCACGGTGCATCACGGTGTGCATCACGGTGCATCACGGTGCATCACGGTGCAACACGGTGTATCACGGTGTATCACGGTGCATCACGGTGCATCACGGTGCAACACGGTGTATCACGGTGTATCACGGTGCATCACGGTGCATCACGGTGCAACACGGTGCAACACGGTGCAACACGGTGCATCACGGTGCATCACGGTGCAACACGGTGCAACACGGTGCAACACGGTGCAACACGGTGCATCACGGTGCAACACGGTGCAACACGGTGCAACACGGTGCATCACGGTGCAACACGGTGTATCACGGTGCATCACGGTGCATGTATCACGGTGTATCACGGTGCATCACGGTGCAACACGGTGCAACACGGTGCAACACGGTGCAACACGGTGCAACACGGTGCAACACGGTGCAACACGGTGCATCACGGTGTATCACGGTGCATCACGGTGCATCACGGTGCAACACGGTGCAACTCGGTGCAACACGGTGTATCACGGTGTATCACGGTGCATCACGGTGCATCACGGTGCAACACGGTGCATCACGGAGCAACACGGAGCAACACGGTGCAACACGGTGCAACACGGTGCAACACGGTGCAACACGGTGTATCACGGTGTATCACGGT